CGATTATAATACTCAATTGTAATTGATGTAAAACTAATAGATATTTAATACCTATACAGCTTTTTGTATACAAATTATTGGTTAAATACTGAAATATTCCAACGTTGGGAATTCGGGTTGAAAACATTCGATCTGCATTAAGAAGGACTTGACACACATGACTTTGATCACCACCAATTGATCATTTAATTGTGATTACATCTCAGTTCTACAGGAGGTCAGTCGCGACCCGGATAGCTCAGTGGTAACGTCTCTGACTATAAGGGCAGGGTGACACGTGATCAAATCAGTCAGGGAGCGCCAGTTCCCTCAAGATTACTGGTATACCTTGCTGAAAAGTGCCAAGTAGCACGAAACCCATGTCCAGGGTTTCCTGCTGACTACCTCCAACTACTATCTTATCTGAACATTGTGCACGCAATGTCGAGTCACCTAGACTAGTAACCATATTACAACTTGGTCGATAACATTCGATCGGCACTAATAAGGACTTAACAGACATGACATTGATCACCACCCAGTGATCAACCAACTTTGACTAGTTTGTATATTTCGTGTAATTAATTCATATATTGAAATATATAAATCTATCAATGAAGATTAATTTATTAGTCATCGATAATAATACTCAATTTTAATTGATGTAAAACTAATAGATATTTGATATCTATACAATATTTTGTATACAAATTATTGATTAAATATTGAAATACTCAAAAATTGGGAATGTTTATCTTTTCAGAATGATCAAATCTTATTGATTGATCAATGTGAATTAATAATTATTTTGTACATAATAAAGAAAAATAATTATGTAATAATAGAATATAATAAAATGGTGGTGAAGTTTTGTTGCTACCTGAAATATGTACTGATAATGTCATTCAGGAGAACAATGAAAGTTCCACGACTAAACCATCCAGCTCAAAGAACAAAATTCCATTAGAATATAATAAAATAAGTCGATGATGATATTAAATAGAACTCTTTGAAACAAAATGAAATCGGCATTTTGTTCTATGTATCTAAAGTTAAATGAAGTGATATATCATTATTCATAGAATAATTAGTTAGATAAACATGTTTCTAACCATTTCCTTTTCTTTTTAAAAAGACGAGATCTATCAATTATGTTTTCGCATACATAATTCTTGTCAAACATTCTAACGATTATATTCTGGAAAATGTTTAACAACAAAGAGTTACTCTTCTATATCATATAGAAGATATTTAAATCAATAATACTGAACCAAGTTTATTAATCATGTTAAAATGAAGAGCTTAACTAATACACTCGAATTCAATAAATGAGCGATATTAAATAACAACTAATAAGAGGGAAAAACAAACTTTGAATCTAATATATAAAATCGTTTCTTCTCTCTCTCTCTCTCTCTCTCTCTATATATATATATATATATATATATATATATATATATATATATATAAGACCAATAAGTAGTACGTTTTAGATATTATTGATCATCATGAATTGTTTATACTATATAATTGTCTCAAGAAAATGACATAATAAGTTCATTTTTAAATGTCGTATAAAACATTATTTCATTTATTTGACTGATTGGTATTTGTTTTCACACGTTGTGTAACGGTAAGCACTTAGTTACCTACAGCAGAATCATCAATTTTGATGATATTCAACTAATGCATTTAGAATGTACGTCATTACCTAAAGCGGCCTGTTTGAATATCTAGGCTACCTGATCCTGCCATCAATATATTTTAACAAGTTACCAGTTTCCTTGTTTGTTTTAACAAATCAACATGCCAATTAATTGCATAATCTATTCAGATGCGTTTGTGAATTGTTTACCACCTTTCGCCGTACAATTTGCAAAAACATACAATCATAGACATCATGATGGATGGCAATATTATTTAGATGTCGACTTTTGAAATGCTAATACCTAATTACCAATCACTCAATATTTATCATCAAAATCGATCAAGAAATAAGAAACAGAAACTAGCTGAAATACTTTGAGCTGAGAATTTTATAATGTAACGAAAATATAATATTGATTGAAGCTAATAATAGTAATAAACTTCTAATAATAATGTTATTAAAATAGTTGGGATCATGAGTCAATATAAGCCAGACAACCATGAAAAACCTCGAAGCATTAAATAGCCTTTTTGTCCCAGTATGGGACACCTCAGCAGTGTACATCCACGAGGTTCGAACCCAGGACCTATCAATCTCGAGTGTCAGTGCTTAACTACTAAACCATTGAGCCGTTATCCAACTGTGTTAATGACTAATTTCAAGCAATCCAAAAGATTAGGCGACATATCCATCATGTTATTAGTCAATAACGAATTAATCACATACATTCTTATTGTATATTTAGCTAAAAATATAAATTAAATATTGAAAATAACAATAATGATTCAAATCATTTTTCGTTAATCAAATAGCAATATGCTTGAGTCAATTCCTCTTTTCTCATAATTACTAATAGCTAGTTACTATGGAATTCAATTATTCAAAATATAGTAAATATCAAGCTGTAATTATGTAGAAGTATACTAAATTCCTATAGTAATTAATATTTGATTTAAATTGAATGAATTATCACAGAATCATTGAAACACTCAATTAACTAAGTAATAATAAACATTTCATAATCAATTAAAAATGTACAATCTTTATTCACATTCATTCTATTTACAATAGTACTAAATCTATCGAACAATATATTTTACAAAGAAAATTAAATGACAAATGTGCATATTGTCTTTCCTTTAACTAGAATATAATAAATTAAGTAAATAATTAAAAGCTTTTTAAACTAATTAAAGTTATTTCATTCGATAAAATCTACTTAGTTCATATACGCCCATTAATATTACTAAGTCATCAAAAAATAAATGTGTAATACTTCCCCATTGTTTAACAATTGAAGAACAAATGGAACTCAAAACAATGACCTGTCAACGAATATCAAAATTACAATCTTCAATACGAACATCAAGATAGTTCCACTGTGTGGAGCTGAAAATCCGAGAACCACTACAACCATCATCAAGAACGTACAAGTATTTATAAATAATTGTCTACGCAAGACACTCAATATTCGTTGACTGGATACCATGAACAACAGCCAACTGTGAGAGAGAACAAATAAGCTTGCAGCTGAGGAGGAACTTAGAACAAGATATCGGAAGTGGATAGGACATACATTAAGGAAATTATCAAGTTGCATGAGGATGAAATCTCCAACTTGTAATGCTGAATAGAAGCGGAAACATGTAATGCCAAACAAACGATTACGTCGGGAAATAGGAGATATGGAAAAGATGAATAACACGTTGAAAGATCTGGAGAGGATTTTCACGGACAGGGTTGGATGGAGAGTGCCAGTGAGCGATTTATGCTCCTCCATGAGGAATAACCGGCGTAAGTAAGTAATTGTTTGATAAGTTCTATATGCTTAAATGAGAAAATACTATATGGGACAAATTATTGTATATGTACACTTGAAAATATTTCTTAAATGTTAATGGATCACTAACCATTATAACAAATGAATGTTATTTAGGTCAATTGTTTTTTTAGTTTTTATTATCAAGAATTAAAATGATTGACATTTATACCAATAACCTTAATACATATAAATTAATTAAATGAATATTAATCATTAAACGATCACTTTCTTCTTTGATGTGGTTGTATGACTACAGAGACAAAATGCTACATATTATCTCTTATATAAACTGATTCAAAGAATTTATGATTGGTAATAGTAAACAATAAATAAAGATACTCACTAGCAGAATTGATCAATTACCGATAGCTTTTTAAATTTGAATATGAAAACTAGTTTTCACTAATTTTCAGTGTGTTCCTTTTCTACATTTGAATCTCATGGTATGTAACATGCAGATATGATCCAATGAGATACCAAATACTTATAATAATTTCTCATTTAAATAGATAGTATATAAGACAGCATCAATCTTTCCTAAAATATATCTAGTTAAATATAATTGCTCATCTTACTATGATCTTAATTCCTCGATGTATAATTTACATCTCTTTATTACATTTTCATTTTCAGAAGGGGTTTTGTGGAGGTTTTCGGAAATTTCAATAGTTGAAATCATGAGTCAATTGAAGCTAGACCACCATGGAAATCCTGGAAGCACTGGGCAGCCATTTCGTCCTAGTATGCGACGCCTCAGAAGTGCGCATCCACGACCCCGCCCCTCGTGAGTTTCTAACCTATCAGTCCCGTGGAGTGGTTGAATCTAGACAATCATATCGTTGGATGCCGCGCTAGAGCGCGCGACTGATAGGCCCTAGCTTCAAATCTCGCGCTACGGGATCATGGATACGCATTGCTGAGGAGTCCTATACTAGGATGAAACGGCCATCCAATGTTTTCAATTTTTCCATGATGATTTAGCTTTAATAAAAACAGTATATGATTCAACGTATTGTCCCTAAAATTAAACTTTCAAGATAATAAATATTTAATTTGCAAATGATGGCTTGCCTAATAATTTAATTTATAAAAATAAGCTTAAAAATCATTTTATTGACTAACAACAAATATAACTCCTCAATGGAATTATTAATTACTAACAAACTGTAAACAATTAAATATAATATCAGTTGATCAGTAACTGTGTGTAGATAAATTAATTTAGTAAAATAACTTTATTCGGTTCATTTTTGTAATCTTTACAATATTGGTAATATTACTGTCAACTGAATATATTATCTACAATCAACTATGCATCATTTGATCTTGTTGTAGTGTTAGACCAATGCTATAATTCATTTCAAATAGTTCTATTTTGGTTTGTTTTTGTTTCTGTTGTTGTTGTTGATAAGACAAACAAACTGGTTCAAGCATCAATCGCTGATAAAAAATAGTTTAACTTAATTATGTAACAAAAAAACTTCAGAAAATATCGTATAAAAGTTCATTCTTAGATAAGACTTTAATAAGATCAATATAATTTTCACTTACGCCAGTAAATACATTTGGAACTCGAGTACAAAATCCACATATTACATTATTCCAATACCACATGTCCATTTAATGATAAATGTAATAATGTTATTAATGAATTTACTATTAAAATTTCATGTTTTTCACGAAATACGGTATCACATTATTATCACTACTATTATTATTAGTAATAGAATATTACTTATCCATAGTAAATAAAATATCCCTTAAGTAAAATCACTTTTGTCTTCCTAAATCAATTTTTTCTAATATTTAAAAATTTTGATAAATTTCAATCATTTGAAATAATCTGATTGGATCAAACAAACTAACCAATCATAAACGAATAAAAATATAATTTGTGAAAAAATTCTTTTTTTTCATACTTAACAAATTTATTTGCTTATTTCATAAAAATTAGTTCTATTTTAAATTACAAGCACAAATGATTTTAATTGGTTGTTTCATTAGAAATATTTAAAGTTAAAATAATTTGAGGTTTATATTTAAATATATTCAATATTTTATTCTTTTGTATGTTGTCGTCAAATGACTTACATACTTATGTATGTTAGCCTCGTCAAGGAGCATAGGCCAACAACTAGCACTATCCATCCAACACTGTCATGGGTAATCCTTAACAACTATTTCCACTTATTATTTATCCTTTTCATATCCGCCTCTATTTCTCGACGTAAGGTGTTGTTTAGCACTCCACTTTTCCGCTTCCCTTCATGTTCCCAATCTAGAGGATGCCTAGTGATGCAGTTTGGTGATTTCTACAATGTATGTCCTATCCACTTCCGATATCTTGTCCTTAGTTACTACTAAGCTGCAAACTTGTTTGTTCTCTCTCACAGTTGGCTGTTGTTCATGGTATCCAGTCAACGAATATTGAGTATCTTGCGTAGACAATTATTTATAAATACTTGATGATGGTTGTAGTATTTCTCGAAATTTCAGCTCCATACAGTAGAACTGTTTTGATGTTCGTATTGAAGATTGCGACTTTGATATTGGTTGAACGTTTTCGTGAGTGTGAATTGATAATTTACCAATATTATACAATAGGGAATTCTACTAGATTGATTACTGGTCTTCACGTAATAAGTATTCGTTCATATATGTGTAGTTATGTCGAATATATTCTACTTACTTTTGTTAATGCAGAAAACTTCAAAAACATCAAAAAGATATTTTTGTATTATTATCCATTTATATATCACTAATAAAGTCATAACATATATATTGTGTACAATTTAAAGTGTTTATTAGTTACGAATATGTTTTTGTAATGCATCTTACTATATTATAAAACTTGAGTATAAGGATGATTACTGATTCTTGAAGTTAGTTAATCACTGCTAACATACTGTGGAACCTTTAGCTGAATAATTCGAAAATTATATGTATGTTACTCCTCGAAAACACTAAGTTGATCATTACGGGTTTGTACGTTAAGTAGTTTTCAGCATAGAATCAGAATGGAAGAAGGCTAGGTGAAGAAAAATGAATTTATAGTATAAATTCATGACTGTTAGACTCCGCTTTTTGATGAATTACAAAACTTTTGGCCTCCTACCATCGAACATTTTTGACGTAAGTGCCAATTAGATAACTAACAATCAGTTAGAATCTTGATCTACTCATTTAATATTTTATAACTACAGTGAAGGTGATACCTTATCTATAAAACCCTAATAATATTTTCGTCAATTCAGAAAGCATTAGTGGCATCTTTTTATCAATCAAAACAACTTCAAAGGTAGTTATATTCGTATACAGAATTCAGTTGATGATAATTTAGAATTTCTTGGGCACTAAACCGTTCATTCGTCATACATTAAGACTAATCATTGGTAGACATGTTAGTTTTCATGGCTTGTGAAATATATCTAGGTTAATAAATTATTATTCAATCATGCACACTCAGCGGCTTGCTTTAATATCTGGGAAACCTGTTCCTGCCGTATAAATATTTCAATAATTTATCAGTTTCCTTGTTTTTTTAACATATCACTATGTCAATTAATTGCGTAATTTATTCAGATGCGTTTTTGAAATGTTTACTACCTTTCGCTGTACAACTTTCAAAAATTTGTAATTGTAGACATCGTGATGGCTGGCAATGTCCACTGATAAGAATTAGTATTATTCAGATGCCGACTTCTGAAGTGCTTATATCTGATTGGCGATCACTCAGTATTTATCGTCAGAATCAATCGAGAAATAAGAACCGGAAACTCGCTGAAATACTTTGTTCTGAGAATTCTATAATGTACCAAAAATATAATATTAAATGAAGCTAATAATAACAATAAACTCAGTAAGCTTGAGATAATGCCAAATATTAACAAAAACGTTTACCCCCTCAATAGTGCTGATACTGCAGGTTATGGTTTTTCACAAAAGGATAGGTAAATTCGTCTCAAACCCACTCAACAGTTAATTCAATGCAATTATATACTTCATTTTTAAAAGATGACATGAAATTAAAAATCATTGTTAATAAGATAACATCGAAACCCATTTCATGTTGTTAGAATCCAATTACACAAAAGGATTAAAATTAATAATTTCAAACCCCTGCGTTATGCTGTGCACACCTTCGAGTTAAATAAATTACCGTGACCCTTCTTACTAAAAAAGGCAAGCCCTAACTTCGAATCCTGAAGGGAAGCGGAAAAGAAGAAGTTCAAATAACACATTACGTCGGGAAATAGAGGCAGATATAAAAAAGATAAATAAGAACTAGAAAAGCTGCAAAGGATTGCCCAGTACAGGATTGGATGGAGAATGCTGGTAGGCGGCCTATGCTCCTCCAGGATGAGTAACAAGCGTAAATTCATACTAAAATAGAGTTGACAAGTCTCAAGAATAAGTTGAAAGTCTTTACCTCTTCAAAATTACTAGGTTGACATTCATTACAATTTACAGGTAAACGAATCACAAATAATCGACTGACTGGAACCCATATAAGAGTGATCAATTAGTTACATAAATGCTAGCCACCAAAAGTAAAAAGTCAACGAGAAACGCGAAGAAAGGAATTTGGAAAAATTCAAAACAAAATCCAGATGTTTACTTTATAAACTAGTGAATTATTGAAGTCATCCATGCCACAGCTAATGAAAGCACTTTACGATTAATTAAATGTACATGATGAAATGACTATTAGCCTTTACTTTATTGGTATATGATATATAGTGGTCGTTATGAGAATTACCAGCCTCAAGCTAATCCTTGTTTAAATCTAAAACATTATTTGATGAGTATTTTCAATTGTAAACATGTTCCTCATTTATTAGCAGGTTTTTAGTTAAGAACCAGTTTGATATGAAAATTCATTTGATCTTATTTATTGAGGTAAATGTAAATATTTCATGAACGCTACCAGTCGTTGAAAATCATAACGAACAAGTAACTACCTCAACCCAATCACATGATTTAAACTAAATATAGAAACAACAGACGACAGACGTCGTTTAACCACTGGCCAACAACAAAAATTAAGTTGTTACTTATAATCTAATTTAATAGTAACAACTCAACCTCCCCCTTCAAAAAAAAGTGAAATAAAGGAATTTCTACACTCAAACACATTCAAAGCACTTTCATCATAAACCTTACTGATACTTTTCTTTGAAACAAACTGTTAGTGATTAATGTCATTCAAACTATCAATATTAATTAAACTATATATATATCACAAAATCACGTATTTCGCTACACTCCACAACTACAAAGAGAGAGTATCCAATTTGTTTATTTGTGACTATGTTTTTTTCGATTCACCTAGCCTTTTGTCTTATCAATAGTTTACCCAATTCTATAGTGGTTATATAAGTATGTCTGAATGAACAAATAAGCAAGTATATCAAAATAGTGTTCCATTAATTGTTTATCATCTATACAGGTAAACCGAAAAAGAAATACTAACTAAAAATGACTATAATACAATTAATAGTGATGTTTCTCCCATGAATTTATCAATTATTCTAACGAAAGACAAACATCAAATCATAATGAAGTTATATTAACGAAAGCAGAAAAAATCATTCACATCATAAGGTGACATATAGACTTTATATTTAAAATAAAAAGGATTGTTTTTATGAATAGTCAAATGAACACTTAAACAATATAAACAATAAGTTATCTCATTTGTTTTATAAAACGAATGGATTAAAAATCTGATGTAATGATATAAATAATAGCGGAACATTTGAAGTTATTTTGTTAAACGATATTACACTTCCTGTTCAATTAGAATTATGTTCAAAACTAGAATTATTTCATGTAGTTTATTTGTTTATTTGTTTGTTTTTCAGCACGATTTCGATGTAAATGTATTTTAGCTTTGCACGTCATTATGTGGTGTGTGCTACTGATCTTGACAGATATAAGTAGTATGTAACACCAATCCAAAATGAAATACCCAGAGGCAGAAAATTAAGAAGATCAAAGAAAAGTTAATGAGAATAAAGAATAATTGTTGTCAAAACAAAAGAACAATGAGGTCTGAGACAATTCATTGCCATTTGCAGAAGGAACAGTCACGTTTGACACAACTGACTGATATTTTGTAAACGAAGTACTTACTGTATGATTCTCAAATTTTACTAAAATGCTTAAGTACATTCGATTGCCCCCACTTGTGTTCTCGTTCATTACAGTGATAATTTTTAAAAACAACTTCCAGTTGGTAATTGCCAATGATTTAATGTACCTGTGATCGTATTACTGATAACAAGACATTTACGTCACACTTTTTATAACATGTTTTAAGTACTGAAGTATGATATATTCACTGATCTGTACGAAATGTCTAATTAATAGTCAGAATAAATGCTCAACATATTAATTAGAAGTTTGATTTTGATCTATCAAATCTATATTTTGCATGATTATCAATTTCCTAAAATCCAAATATTCTGTATATTAAATAAAAAAGACATACAGATTAACATCACATTCTAAAAACGTCTAATTAAAACTATATGAAGTATTAATAATGATTCCATTGTCTACCTTTTCTCAATTTTATGGTTATCATTACATCACAGACAGGTACAAATATGTGATATATATAATACATTTAGATTAATAATGAAACAGGTTTACTATTGATTTATCTAACTTAGTTTATAACAAATGAATTAAAATTTGTTATATCTTAGTGATGATTAAATTACGGATAACTTCTGACAAATATTACTT